AGTGACCTCCTGGTTCATGGGTCAATTCTCAACCACCGAGCCACACAGCCTAAGCAAGCCAACTATTTTTAGCATATCCGTCAATTTAGGTTCATCGGATTTTGGAAAGAATACCACAGATGCAATGCTGTGTCTGTCTCAGTGAATTGGATCAGGAGGCATATGATACTGATTTGTCCCAATATTACTAAATTGAATTTCGATCTACTGTAAGAGGGCTTTCTTGCCCTAGCTGGTTTGACTCAGTGGATAGAGCGTCGGCCTGTGGACTGAAGCATCCCAGGTTCGATTCCAGTCAAGGGCACATGCCTAGGTTGCAGGCTCAATCCCCTTTCCCAGAAGGGGTGTGCAGGAGGCAGCCGATCAATAACTCTCGCTCATCTTTGATATTTCTCTCTCTCTCCCTCTCCCTTCCTCTCTGAAATCAATAAAAATATATTTAAAAATAAAGTATCAGTTCTAATATTTTTTTTAAAAGGCTTTCTCTTGTCCCAAATTTATTTACTTACTTACTTATTTACTGATATTAGTACAAACTTATGGAATTTTATTTTGTTCCATAATCTGTTACTATTTTATTTTAATATTCAAATTGTCCCAGATTTGGCTCACAAGAGCTGATTCAACCTGGTTACTGTATCCTTTGAAATGTTTCTATCATTCTTTGAGCACTTCCTTACTTCCTGGCACAATATATTCCATACTCACTTGTGCTTTCCATGTCCTAACTCTGGAATCAGTCTTTTTGTAGAGACCAAGATCTGGGTACCAAGTATGTTTTCTGCTAATATGTCATTGCTTCTAGGCACTATCAAAGGACAAAATTAGCACACACATACACAGGTACATCCTTGCATGTACACACTCACACAGACACACAAGGGTACACAAACTCTTGTACACATATGTTTACACATACACACTAATTACATACTAATATCTCCAACCTCAATTCTAGTTCAACACCATAGGGTACATTCTATTCATCCCTTTCCCCTTTCCATAGTTGTAATTTCTTCCTCTAAAACCTGGACTAAGTGTTTTTCTCATACGATAACTAGTTCCTACAAATTTTTCAAAAAGAAAAGTAGAGATGACAGTGACTTTATACCTTTGCCCCCAGATTTAACAGCACAGATGGGCTTGGGAGGAAAATCTACAGAAGCTTCAAACAATCACTATTTTTCATTCATTATCTAGCCCAGCTTGTTTTTCCTTTTGTTTTTATTTTTTTAATCCTCACCTGAGGATATGTTTTTCACTGATTCTAGAGAGAGAGTAAGGGAAAATGAAAGGGAGAGGGAGAGAGAAACATGGATGTGAAAGAGAAGCATGGATGTGAGAGAGAAACATCAATTGTTTGCCTCCCATATACGCCCTGACCAGGAATCATATGTGCCCAGACCAGGGACCACACCTGCAACTTGGGTATGTGCCCTGACTGGGAATCGAACCTTAGACCCTTCGGTGCACGGGAGGATGGTGTAACCAACTGAGCTACACTGGCCAGGGAGGAAGGGAGGGAGACAGAGAGAGAGAAAGAAAGAGAGAGAGAAACATTGATTGGTTGCCTCCCATATGGTCCGGGACTGAACCCATAACCTGCGCATGTGCCTTGACCAGGAATCAAACTGGTGACCTTTCAGTGCATGAGACAACACTCCACTAATTGATCCACATGAGCCAGGGCATCCCTTCATTTTATTTTTGTGGCACCTCTATATTGACAGATGCTGAGAAGATCTTCAGGATAAGCCTGGAGCTGGTCTAATGGCTGCTTGGTATACTGTTCGTTCTCATAGCTGAGCTTAGGAATATACCAGGATCAGGCAATTCGGGTCTGAAAGTCTGATGATTCAGCTCCCTCATAGAACTGTGGACAGCCTAATTCCCAAATGGATGAGGTGAGCTTGGCCACCTATCCAGCTTAAACTGTGTACTAGGCCTGGAGGGAGACAGATTCTGGAAAATTTGATCAGCTTCCACAGCTCTGAATGTGAGGATTCTGAATTCTGGAACACAAATCTCCATCTACCCTGGACAAAGTCTCTGATCTCTAGCTGGGTGTTCAGGTGATGCTGATTTCTTTCTATATGCTTCAAATAAGCCACTCCCGTTTGATTTATCCCAATAGAATCTGTGCCTGCTTTCCAGCAACCTGAACCTTCTATTGGTCAAGCAGGATCTGGGTCAGCTTTGACTAAATAGCAGCTTTCTCCTTCCTGCTCACCTGCTTTCTGTGGACTGGCCCGCCTCATCTGTGATTCTAACTGCCACCATATTCAGTTTCCCCCTCAGACTACCCTCCTTAGTAGAAAGATTGCTTCTCTCGGTTCTTTTGGATGAGTCCTGCTTGCTGATGTCCCAGCTGCTCAGCAGAGACTTACTCACGGTTCCACACTGGAACCAAAAAGCCAGCTGAAGGAAGCCCACTGAAAGATTTGTATGCTTTCCCACTAACTTGGTAGATAACCTTGGTTTCTGCCCTTTGCCAGCACTTCAGCCAATGACCTTTTCAGTAATGGGGCTGGGGGGGGGGGGGGGCAGCAATACTTTCTCAACACGTCCATACAAGCTCCAGGACAATGGAAAATGCTGCAGAAGAATTTCCATGCCTGGGACTTTCCTTCCAACGCAGCCTACTCTAAGCCACCTCCAAGGCCTCAGGCAAAGCTTGGCCTCAGAAACTAGTTCTTGCTCATCTCCTCTGCATGCAAGAAAACCTTAAATGTTTTGAATTAATAGAAAAAAGCATTTAAAAATCATACAATTGTGCCAGATAGGTAGATTTATGGGGGTGATCACTTCCTAAGTTATCTAAATGTCTAATCACTATGCTAGACATCTGATACTAAATTAATAGTGTATGTCAACTATAATTGATTGAAAAATAAAATTTTAAAAAGATCATACAGTGTTTCAAGTGGCTAAAGAAAAATTTTGCTTTTAACCTTTTCTGCAATAGACTCTTTCTGGCATTGGACAGGACCTCATCTTAAGGATAGGCCAACAATATTATTTTGGAACAAACATGGTAGAGCAATACATTGGCTGGTCCTCACCTTTTAAAAAAAATTTAAAAATTTGTTTTTATTAAGTTAAAAAAATATTTTTATTGATTTTTGAGAGAAAGATTAAGGGAGAGGGAGAGAGAAACATCATTGTGACAGTGAAACATCGACTTGCTGCCTCCTGCACACCCCTATTGGGGATCAAGCCTGCAACCTAGGCATGTGCCCAGACCAGGAATAAAACTGGCAACCTTTCCATGCATGAGATGATGCCCAGCCACTTGAGCTATACCAGCCAGGGCTGATTCTCATCTTTTAATAAGTAAAGACCCTTTTGTGGTTTCTTTATAGAGCCCCAATCTACAAAATTGGTGCCGAGGAGGATACTGTTATCAAGGATTAAGAAATAGATTCTTTCCTGGGATCTGCAGCATTTTACATTAGGTACATGATAAATAATGCCAATTTCACAGTTTTTCCCAGTGAAAGAAAAAGTTATTTTTTCTTTTTTGCAAGTTTTGTTGTTACTTAATGTAGAAAAAAGTGAAGTACTCCTACAACTCATTAAACTCATTAAATGTGTTTAACGTTTATGTTGCATGCTTTTATATAGGAATTTTTCTAACAATGCAAAAATATCAACAGGCCATAAATAATTAACAATAACAAAAAGTCAGTAATAAATATGGCATCCTCAAAATGAAAATGGCCAACATTTCAGTCCTTTATTTTCTTCTTGGGCCAATATCCTTAGATATCAACTTGTGAAACTCCTCATTTCCACAGAACAGAATGAAAGCCACATTGCCAGGGTTTTTAGCTTACATTTTGGAATCAGTGTTTAATTCTAGCTGTCACAAAAGTAGAGCCACCTGGGGAAATTCATCTTGCCTCTGGTTTCTTCCAAAAAAGTGAGAAGAATTAGATAAGCCGGTTATACGTGTAGAAATTAAATAAATAGAACTCTTATCTTAGAAGGTCAGACTTAAGCCTGGTGTTGAGGAAGAAATTTTATCCATTCATTCTTTGAATAAGTATTTCTTGAGCACCTATTCTTGCCAGGTACTGTACTATGGAATACAATGTTGGGCAAAACAGATGTGACCCCTGCCCTCTATAGCTTACAGTGCAGATGGTGAGACATACAATTCATTACATCACCTCAACATCTTAAATACAACTATACAGGGAAAGAACAGAGAACTCCGGGTCCTGACTGGGGGGTGAGGGAAGACTTTCCTGAGGAAGGATGACAGATGGCCAGCCAAGAGTGGGGCAATGGGAGGGAGGGGAGGCCTGGTAAGTGGCATAAGGGGACCATAGGCCTCTGTGGCCAGGGGGAAGAGTAGCTAGAGAGGCAAGCAGGGCCAGTTCTGGATGATCCTTGAGGACATAAGGATTTTAGTTTTGTTTTTGATATTTTGTTTTTTTAAATATATTTTATTAATTTTTTACAGAGAGGAAGGGAGAGAGATAGAGAGTTAGAAACATCGATGAGAGAGAAACATCGATCAGCTGCCTCCTGCACATCTCCTACTGGGCATATGACCACAACCCAGGTACATGCCCCTGACCGGAATCGAACCTGGGACCTTTCAGTCCGCAGGCTGACGCTCCATCCACTGAGCCAAACCGGTTTCGGCGTATTTTAGTTTTTATTTTAAGAGCAGCAGATCAGGAAAGAGCGAAGACATCAAATATGCATTTATAAAGATGATGCTGGCTGCCTGGAGGCTATTGCTATTTGTTTAGGCAAGAGAACTCAAAGGCTTGGTATGGATGAGGCAGAAGAGAAACAGAGGGATGGATACCTTTGAGAGAGATTGAGGCTGGGGAGGATGGGAAGTGCGAGTGAGGCAAAGGAGGTTTTCTCTGATAACTCCTCCATGTCTAGCTATGCTGAAAGTCTGGCACCTAAGGCAGGCTTCTGGAAGATTTCTGAACAAGCTGAAATTCGTTCATCTCTCACTCTTATCTGTACTTTTGCAGGTACCACATGCTCTACTCCAACATCTATTGAACATGCAAACATCCAGGTCAAGAGTTATAATGAGAACTCCAGGGAGCGTTATATTTGTAACTCTGGTTTCAAGCGTAAAGCTGGTACGTCCAGCCTGACTAAGTGCCTGCGTAACGAAGACACAAATATTACCCAGTGGACCATTCCCACTCTCATATGCATCAGTAAGTACCTGCCCCTGCACCATCCCTCCCTGCCACCCTTGCCAAGGACACACAGACAGCAGTGCTGCAATGTGGGTCATAGAATAGCCCACCTGAGGGGCCAAGAGATTTGTGTTGAGGTCTGAGGCTAAATAAACCAATAGACCTCTAAACAACACCTCTGGAGGTGGAAATACATGGGCTTTGGAGTGGGGAGGGTGTCACACAATTGTGGGTTCAAATCTTGGCTCTGCCACTTACCTAAACCCATGAGACTTTGGGCCTTCATATCTCAGAACTCTAGGTTTCTTATATAGGAAATGGACCTGATGTGCATTGTGGCTTGTTTGTAGAAGGATTCAGTGAAACCTGGTAAATATTAACTATTATTACCATTGGTGCTTTAAGATTTTGGTAGCAAGAATTTGGCTACAGACAAGGATGTGTGCTCAAGCATAGCTGCTTCCCAGAGAGCTTTTCCAGTTTCTCCCTAGGAGAAGGCCTGCATTCTTCTCCAGTGGTATCCATCCCAGGAGACTGCGGAGACACATGGACGCAGCTTCCCTAACTCGGTTACCCAAGTCTGGTGTCCAGTCAGTGGTCCAGAGCAAGTGTGAGGGAAAGTCGCCAGAATCAATTTTTGTAAACCACCTACAACTGGATAACCATGCCAGAAGGAGCCAATTAATCTTGTGGTGGAAGCCAATTGTGCCATTTCCAGAAATACTAATCCACTTACTCTAGAAAAAATATTAAGCCACAGTCTTCTGATTTAACATTTATTGCTTACTTGGTACAAGTCCAGCAGTGAGTAAGATGCTTTCTCATATAACATTTGTGGAAATTGCCAACTTCTCTATGGGGGAAGCAGAGGGGTAAGGAGATGAGGTTTTGTTTGTTTGTGTTTTTGTTTATCCTCGCCGGATGGTTTTTTCCCATTGATTTTTAGAAACAGTGGAAGGGATGCGTGGAGGGTGGTGGGAAAGAGGGGGGAGGAAATAAATTGGTTGCCTCCCGTAGTGCTCCCCAACTGGGAATGGGTATCGAACTTGCAACTCAGGTACATGCCCTTGACCAGTAATCAAACCAGCAAATTGAACCCACAACCCTTTGGTGCATGGGCCCCATGCTCTAACCACTTAGCGACACCAGTCAGAGCAGACAGGAGGTTGTTCTAGAGCAAACTCACTTTATTGTAGGACTCCTTGGAGAGCCAGACTTTCTTATTGAATTTGTAGTGTTTAGACCACCTGGTACTCCTCCCCCTCAACCTGTCCCTCCCTCTGCATGACTGTCATGCAGACGTCAGAGGCAAAGCAAGGAGGAAGCCTTCTACTTGATGTAGAGGACTGACTGGCCCTTTCCCTGATCTTTTCAAGGATGCATGTATATATACAGCCTTGGAAGATGGAGACAGCACCTCCCTCTGGAGAGAAGGCAGACATGGTCATGCCATTAATAAAAGACTCAGGTTCCCTGAGCTCAGGCTTCCTCTGCTGTGTTGCAGACCACTGGATGTATCTATTCTGGCCCATCCATGTTGCCTCTCTGGGGCTTGGGGATGAGGGAATTGATGCAAATTTGCTGATACTCCTGCTGCCCATTGTGTTTGCAGTCTGTGCTTACATTTGCATGAGAACTGCAGGTTGGGAAACATTGATTGTAGTTTATTTCTTGTGCTTCTGACCTATCCTAGGAGGCCAAATGTATCCATTTTAAATTTGTATGTTTATTTATATCCAGTTCTGAAGCCACCCCAGGGTCCACCCTCAGGATCATAAATGCCATGTGGTTGTCCTCTCTCTAGGAGACCCCTCCCTGACCCGCCAAAGGCCATCCTCCACAGTAGCGCCAGCAGGGGTGACCCCAGAGCCAGAGAGCCCCTCCCCTTCTGGAAAAGGTAGGAATGTTGGGAAATTTTTAAGGACTTCCATTCCCTGCTAACACTCAGGTCCCCACAAATCCCTCAGATTCATGGACCACTGCTGGAGTTCCACTACAAACTTATGTAATAGAACAAAACTATTTAAAAATCAAAAACAAAAACTTACCTTAGCTTAATTTTCTGTTTTAAACCAAAGGGGCTTGATATCCAGGTTTTATATGTGCATGATTAATAATGGCTTGAAATCCACTCTTATTATGTCAGATCAAACTTAATTGCTATCCTTGTCAATACTGCTCTCCGTCTCAGGGAGGTTCTGAGGTTTGGCCTGCCTCACATGTTAGCCCACCACAGTTTCAGGGGTACTGGCAGAAAACACAACACTCCTGGTCAAAGCTGTGGCCATCACTTTGTAAAGCATATAAATGTTGAATCACTATGTTGTACACCTGAAACTAATATAATACTGTGTCAATTATGAATAATTTTTTGAAAGCAACAACAAAAAACAGTATATGAGTTCTGATTCTAGAACGAGCTCTGTAAGTATTAATAACAAAAGATGTGAATTTCAGAAACGTGAGAGACCCATGCAGAATTGCCTCCCAACAATCCTACGCACCAGCAAGTTAACTATGATGGCTCTGGTGTAGCAGCATTGCCCAAAGCTGCCAATGTGCCACATTTCCACTGAGTCTTAGGTAATCATCCATCCCAATTTCCTCAGCACTGACTCCGTGTTAAGAAAATCCGAAACCTTCGGTGCCCCATGTCCTGTGATACCCTTACTTTACACTTAACTCTTGATTTTTTGTGTCCCGTTTTCCAATTTGTGGGTTTTCCTGGCCCCTGTCTCCTCCCATCCAGGCACAGTCATTCTGTTATGCTTGGCATGCCTCCCTAGAGCAGGGTTCCTAATCTTGGCTGTTCACTGAGGTCACCTCGGAACTCTCGAGAGCAATCTGGGAATCAGAATTCTAGAAGCTCCCTGGGTAATTCTTAGGTAGCCAAGGCTGAGAACCACTGCTGAAGGGAGGATGGAAAGGCCAGAAAAAGGTGGTTCCTTCTAGTTAGCTGGCTACAAACAGAAGGCAGAGGCCGAGGTACTGGATATATTTAAGTTTGGGGCAGTTCTAAAGCTCCTTCGATTGGAGTCAAATCTGATTCACCCAAGTAATGAGAATCATCAAGTGGCCTCTCCCAGTTCTGCCTTCATGCACCAAACACTTGATCAGATGAAACCGTACGGTCAAAATCTCAGATGTGAGATTGTCATCTTTGACAGAAAGTGACGTTGCCATGGACACTTGGATGGGAATGCTCTTGGGGAACCCTATGCAAAGTACCTGGACTGCTGGCAGTCTGGGTAGTATGAGGATGTGACTAAGGATTAAAGGGCATGAGGACTTCTCATAGCATTTGTGGCTGGGAACACATGGGAAAGCAGCCCAAATAATGTGGCCGATAGCCAAAGATGCCGAGACCGGGGCAAAGCCCTTCAAATACACTCTATAGTTCAGATGGGCTGAATCTCAGGCTCCCTCTTATTTAGAAGTTTTGTGAAAACATGTATAAAATAAACTAAAACCAGCATCCCAGAGGTCTCAGCTTTGGCAAATACTGTTCCACTTGTGTGTCTTTTTTTTGTTTGAGACCAGTCTTCTCTAGTAAACAGCCTGGATCTACTCTAATCTTTGTAATTTACTCTGCAAATCCTCTAGCATTCTCGAAAGTCTTATGGCCACCCCGGATGGATGACTACGTTACACACACTTAAGGGATTTTCGTAAAGATCCATGGAGCAGTGTCCTGGGGGAGGGCTGGCCCAGGGTGGGCTCCTTAGAGCACGGATTAAGTTCACTCTCCTCTGGAGCTAAGAAAGTTACTATTCTAAACATTTATGTTCTCCATGTGTTGCACCTTCCGACAGAGCCAGCTTTCATTTCCAAGCCAGACACCACAGTGGCCACAAAGCCAGCTGTGGTACCGGGCTCCAGGCTGACATCCAAATCTCCTGCAGGAACCACAGGGGTAGTCAGGAATGAGCCCTCCCAAGCCCCACCTCAGACAACTGCAAAGGCCTTGGAACACACTCCCTCTACCTCCCTCGAGAAGCCAGGTTGGCACTGTCTTTGCACACTTTAGGGGAGTTCAGCTCTTTGCCTGCATGACATAATACCCTCCAAAATCAGAACAACCTGTCAACCCTCCGCCACCGGCTCTCTGCCACAGCCTTCTTGCTCTTGTCTCTGTTTTGTGCTCGACCCTGGCTCAGTCCAGGTGAAAAGGAAGTCCATTTCCCAAATGTGCCAAGTCTCACCGTATTAACCTGCTTTGCTAAGAATCTGAATAATATCGGCCTCCTCCTAATGTGGGAGGACGAGGACGCTTCCCACCCTCTGGGGTCACCATCTATGGGATGGAGGAGCACTCGGTAACCTGTATCTTCTGTAAGGGCACATCTGACTCTTAAGCATGGCCCAGCCTGTAAATGAATTAATGACCTTGCTTGTTCTTTGCTAAAATGAGTTTGGTTTTTCCAGCCATGCATCTCTCAAGGCTTTAAGATAGGAACCAAATTGTGCAGAATTTCTCCTGCTTAATGAGAATAGTACCTTTAGGACTACCATCATAACTGAGCTGCAATCTCTTCCCGCAGGTTCACATTCATCCAGTTCCACAGCTGTCACTGGTAAGTATTTCCCTTTGTCCTGGAAGTGCTGAAGGGCAGGGGACTTGTCCCAGGGAGCTGAACAGTCCTGGTTTGTGCCAGTTGTCCCAGCATGATCACTAATAGCATCCCCTTTCACTCTCAAGTGTATCGTGTAGAAAGTAAGTTACAAGATCACCCTATTTATGGAATTCTTTATTTGACATCACTATTTTCATATTGGTACCTTACCAGTGTCAGGCTCCTGATATGGAAACCAAAGAGTAGATACATCACAAAAAGGGCCTAGTCAGCAATTCAGTTCTACTAAGCAGGGCTAGACGTCTGTCCAAGACTTACTAAGTAACCAGGATTGCGTGTTGGCACCGTGGAGATGACATTGTTCTGCTGACATACAGACTGCACTACTCCCCCAGAGTGTTAGTGAGCACCATGCACCTACAGCCAGACCATTCAAATTTCTCCGTCTAGAAGCCTTTTTACAGGAGATGCACACAACACTAAGACTAGGGGAGAATGTCCCAGTAAATATCAGGAGGAAGATGGAAAATTGTTAGCAAGAATGAAAGAAAAAGATGAAAGGAGGAGAGGAAAGCTCAGAGAAGAGAGGAGAGAAAACGAGAAAGAAGCCAGGAGAGAGAAATGCAATAAGTAAGAAAGGATCTGATACTTTTGTCTGAGAGGTTTTCAATGAACTGAAAACCACTCTAATGTCATATGGGCAAAACGATTTCTATTTTTGATTTACAAGTTTTCCTGCTAGAGAAAGATTCATATTTTTGTGGTTACATTTTATCTGCATTAGTGTCATCTGGAAAAAAAAACAAGTGGCTTTGGTCATCTCAGCAGTTAGTTGATTTAGAATTTTTTTTTTAAAATCAATCATATATACAAAGTCAAGACAGTGTGGAAAGGCTCTTTGGAGAGTATTTTCATGGAGAAACTATGGCATTTAATGGCAAGGATATGAAAACAAGAATATGTTTATCATTTAAGAGGAGACCAATAAATAAAGAAGCCAGTCTAATTTTTCTTTTTATGTCACATACTACATTAACCTTTCTACAAAGTTTTAAATTTTTTATTCATTTTTAAAAAATATTTTTTGATTGATTTCAGAGAGGATAGAAGAGGGAGAGAAATATCAGTGATGAGAGAGAATCATTGATTGGCTGCCTCCTGCACGGGGCCCCCTACTGGGGATTGAGCCCATAACCCGGGCATGTACCCTTGACCAGAATCAAACCCTGGACCCTTCAGTCTGCAGGCCGACACTCTAACCACTGAGCAAACCGGCTAGGGCTTTATTCATTTTTTGAACTAAAATTTTTTGCACATGGTTTAAAAATAAAAAAGTACAAAAGGATATATAGTAAAAAGTAAGCCCTCACTCTGACTGAAAATCATCTGTGGGAAGGAAGAAATCCCCTGCTACCAGATTTCTGTGTACCCATCAGAGAAAGTCAGTATGTCAACAGCACACAGAGGATATATGATGCCAGCCAGTTAGGTATTTTATTTTCAAGGTTCTGTACTTTGTTTTCACTTAATGCTATATTTTGGAGATTCTTCCACATCAGTATATAAAACCACATCATTCTTTTTAAGAACTTAAAAATATTCCATTGTATGGATTTACCACAATTTATTTAGCCAACTCTCTATTTGGACACGAGACTGCTTACATTCTTTGGCTATATTACAAACAATGAAAAATTAGAAAGCCTTGTATTGTTTTGCATATGTGAGAATATATATGTAGGATAAAATCTTATACATAAAGTTTTGGAGACATATTTTCTATGATTTTCAAACTATTTTCTAGATTTTCAAACTATTTTATTATGGACTATAATCTATTTTTTCCAATTTATGTCTTTCACTGGATTAAAATATCAGAAACTCACTCCCAAATTCTGAAATGTAATATAATAAACATTAACTGAACATGTACAATAGATAAAGATAGCTATGTGCAAAGAACTGTGAAAATACCGAGATTTAAAGGGGGAAAAAAAAACCTCAGCTTTAAACCATTCATATTGTATGAATAAGATTATCTTCTTTCAAGCTGCTTAAATATAAAGATAGACATATTGCCCTGGCCACTCAGTTGGTTGAGCATCATCCCATGCATCAAAGGTCACTGGTTTGGATGCCAATCAGGGCACATGCCTTAATTTCAGGTTCAATCCCCAGTAGGTGGGGGGTGGAGGGGCAGGAGGCAGCCAATTGATGTTTCTCTCTCTCATCAATGTTTCTCTCTCTCCCTCTCCCTTCTCTCTCTCAAAAAACACCAATAAAGACATTTAAAAAAAAAGACAGACATATTAAAACTATAAGAAAGCAAGTAATTTCATCAAGGAGATGAAAACTAGCTATATTTCATTATGTATTACTTGAGTTTCATCCGCTAAAAAGGTGTATGCTAAAATGAAAATCATGCTAACTTTCTAAAAAGACTTAGTTATAATGCCTTCAAAGTATGTCTCATACAATCCCAGCCACCTAAGACCTAAGAGTATGCCCAGGCCAGGTATCAGTGACAGAGGTACTCGCTGGTTCCCTGGGCATCAGTGGCTGTTGCTATTTCCACATGAATAAGCAATCAGTTGAGCTCATCTTTGTAAAAAAATATATTAAAATGATGCTTTATACTATAGTGGTTGCTCAGTAAATGTTAACATAATGTTTTAATCAACCCATTGATACTACCAATATCATTTATTTTTTAAATAAGGTTATAAAAGATATCACAACTTTTAAAGTTACTTTCTTTAGTCCAACAGAAATATTGAATGAATAAGTAGTGAATGAATGAGCAACTATTAAGTAAATTTGAGGGCTTTAACATCTAAATAAATATTCAGGAAGTGTTGCTTATCATCTCATTGTCTCAAATATCTACTGCCTCACTTGGCAGCCCTTTTTATCAATAACTTTACTCAATTTTTCCAGTATCTGGTCTCTGATACTTGACTAAGCTATTCTTGAAGTGTCTCAATCCTATTTAATAAAGAGAGAATATGCTAATTGACCCTCACACCATCACAAAGATGGTGGCACCCATCTTCCAATAAGGAGGGAATATGCTAATTGACTGCCCACCCTCAAAGATGGCAGCACCCACAGCCATAAGATGGCCGGCAGGGGAGGGCAGTTGGGAGCGATTGGGCCAGCAGGGGAGCAGTTAGGCATCAATCAAACTGGCAGGGGAGTGGTTGGGGTGATCAGGCTGGCAAGCAGAAGTGGTTAGGGGCAATCAGGCAGGCAGGCAGGCGAGCAGTTGGAAGCCAGCAGTCCCATATTGTGAGAGGGATCAGGCCTAAACTGGCAGTCGGACATCCCCCAAGGGGTCCCAGATTGAAGAGGGTTCAGGCTGGGCTGAGGGCCACCCTCTCCCCCCAAATTTTGTGCACCAGGCCTCTAGTTGTAAAATAAAAGGTCAAAACGTCATCTATGAGTGTGTTTACATGGCCATCTTCATTTAGTACACTAGGAGTGAGGAGTTCCTTTTGCTGCCACATCTGAAATAAGTTTGCTACAGTCCATATACTCAGCCTTTAACAGAAGCTACCTTTGTAACGTTCATCTATTCAATCAATAGAAATGGAGGTTCTATTTTGTGGCAGGTCTGGTACTAACCTGCAATGAAATGCAGATTTCTCATTAAAAAGCAAATGGCACTTTAAATGTATGTATTTCAACTTATGGGATGGTAATTATTTAATTCAGTCAAGTAAGTATTGATTATCTACTCTGAACCCAACACTTGGAATGTGCTTAGTAAAGTAACAGATACTAATAGAAGAAGAAAAGAAAACTTAGGAAAACTGCCCAGAACTGACATTCTTACTTCAAAATTGCCCTCATCAAATGCAGACACACAAGGACTCTGGGCACAGTGACAGAAATACGTACTACTCCCTGACTGACCTAGTTTGCAGGTACTGCTAAGGAATGGTGAGTCCCTGTATGTTCACAGAGGACATTTCATCATCCACATCCAACAGTGGCCCCTGGCTGCCTAGGCTACCTTCTGTGCCCCAGACCCAACATGCATGTTGAATGGTAGGTTGAATGCTAGGCAGGCAGTTATTAGCCTTTCTGGCCTCCTGTGCAATAATCCACCTTTTCTCCTCTCTCTCCCAGATTCTAATCCTCCTCTATCTCATGAAATCTCTTTCACTTCCTTTTCCTATAATCCATGCACCCCTAGTAAACACAAAAGGGTGGAGGGCTTTGGCAGTTGATATCTTAGTCCATTGTTGTAGTAATTCTGGTTTCAATTTCTTTACTAAATATGTCTGTATATAACTGAGGAAGAGGTCAAGGGTTTGGGTTTAAGTCACTGAGCTCAAATTGCTTTGTTGTATCATTGGCTCAGGAGCCCTCTTCTCCCTTGAGTTTGAGTCTGTAGTTTATATTCTCATTACAAATAAACAGGAAGAAGCATTGTGAAATACTGTTTATATCAACTTGCCTTTTCCAATAAATCTCTCCATGAACAGTAAATGAATGCCAAACTGATTAGTTAATGTGAAGAAATAGTTTATTATCAGCTACAATATCTCTGCTAATAAAAGACTCCTGATTTTTAGTCATAGTGATGAGTAATGTTGTTTAAAAAGTCAAAAGAACTTTCACTAGTTTTCCAAGTTTGTTGTTACTTCTTTTAGAACAACTTTTCTATGCTTTTTTCTACTGCGATTAGTTTTGTTTTTTCACTTTATTGTTTCTTCTGACTATAGCATCATTGCAAAAATATCAGGAGGAAATTTTTTAAAGAACATAAAGATTATAATCCCACCATTATTTAATACTTTGATAGATATTCTTCAAGATTTTTGTTTTGCATATGACACACACATGGCTTACTGGATTTCTTTTGGTTCATTTTTATTTCAACCACCTTTTTACACTTATGATATCACTAGAGGCCCAATGCACAAAACTCAGGCAAGGGGCTTGGCTCTCGCAGCCCCGGCTTCATGAAGAAGGACATCCAGAGGTCATTCGGCTGTCTGGTCTAATTAGAATATTACACTTTTATTATTATAGATAGACATCTTTTCATGTTAATATAGATTAATTTCACAATTTTTAAAATATATTTCTATTGATTTCAGAGAGGAAGGGAGAGGGAGAGAGAGAAACAGAAACATCAATGATGAGAGAGAATCATTGATTAGCTGCCTCCTGCACGCTCCCTACTGGGGATCAAGCCAGCAACCAGGGCATGTGCCCTGACGGAATCAAACTGTGACCGAATAATTCATAGAGCAAAGCTCATAGGTTCATAGGTCAAACTACACCAGCTGGGCCATTTCATAATTTTTAAAAGCTGAATAATATTCCATTGGATGAGTATTAACACATTTTAACTAATTTTCTACTGATAAGATATTTAGATGAACATTTTAAAAATTATTTTACACAGTACTTCAGTGAATATTCCTACATATACTTTCCCATTTCCTTAGAATGAGTCCTAGAAGTAGAACTGGAGAGTTAACTTATATGGTCTTCTCTAGAGCTTTTGTTATGTTGCCAAGTACCTTTGAGAAAAACTGTGCCCATTTACATTCACTCCTACAAAGCAGAGAATCTGGGCGTTTCCCATATCCATATATTTAACCTGCATTTCAATAGGGTTGGATTTTAAATGCCAAGCCCTGGGGATTTACCCGTGCCTACAAGGTTGTGTGTTGGTTGTACAGGGACAGGTCTGAAAAGTTTCATGGTCTCGGAGACTAATTGACTCATGGTCCACAGTGAGACAACTATCTCTCCAGATGCTCAGGGTTGTCATCTTGCAAGTGGGGCAGCCGGGTGATTTTTGCAGGGACATTTCATAATATTAAGGCAAACTGGCAAAATCTGCTTGGAGTGTATTATTGACTCAGTGTTTTATTTTATTTTATTATTTTATTTTATTTTATTTATTTATTTTTTATTTTATTTATTTTTATTTTATTTTATTTATTTTATTTTATTTTATTATTTTATTTTATTTTATTTATTTTATTTTATTATTTTATTTTATTTTATTTATTTTATTTTATTTTTTATTTATTTTATTTTATTTTATTTATTTTATTTTATTTTATTATTTTATTTTATTTTATTTTATTATTTTATTTTATTTTTTAATTTATTTTATTTTATTTTATTTTACTTTATTTTTTTTATTTTATTTTATTTTATTTTATTTTATTTTATTTTTTTATTTTATTTTATTTTATTTTATTTTATTTTATTTATTTTATTTTATTTTTTATGGGATGGGTGGCATGGGCAGGTGGCGGCTCCCAGCGCGCAGAGGAGAACATTTCTGTGCTGTATACTGAGGATCAGCCATACACAGCCCCTCCGTGGTCCTGCCTCCCATCCCTCTCTCCTGGGGTGTTCTGGGCACCTGGGCCACATCCCTAGAGAAGTGACTCAGTGTTTTAAAAATAGTTATGTTCACCTGCCTTTTTGCTTCCACACGAGGATCCCACTGTTCCTAATAAATCGCAAATGCTGTTGTGGCTGCTGGCCTTCCACCCTCAAATCCTCCCACCATCCATGCTGTTCCTTTCAACTCCGTCAACAGTTTTTTCCTTTTCCTAAGCATTACTTTATTCTCCTCTTACCTGTAAGATCTCTCTTATCACACCTCTTCTTTCTCTTTACCACTCTTCCTCTGTCATAAAAAAAGTAGCAAATAATGCTAATGGAATTGGAAGAAAAATGGCACTGCAAGCTATCATTTCTAAATCAGGATTCTGCGAAGCTGCAGAAAAGGGGGAGGTTGTGCCAGAGGACAACTGAGGAGGACCCTTACCACGTCTACTTTCTTCACTTTGGATTTAGCAGCAAGCATTTCTTCTCACGAAGTGCTTACTTTCCCCTCCTGACTTATTCCCATCCCTGCCCATCACTCACTCTGCTCAGGAAGGACAAGGATTAGGAGCACGGGACATGGGATAACATGAACTGGACAGTTTGAACTGGCAGTGTTGGTGGGAAAGGAATGTAGTTTTTGCCCAGAGATAGAATAGATTGAATTGCATGGAACCTTAAGAAATGTTAATAACAGTAAGCTGTTTGGGAAGGCGTTTGTATCTCTCTGCGGGAATGTAAACTGTAAAGAATTTTCAGATTCGTAGAAATTAACCTTATAGGGGGATAAATGGTGATGGATGGAGACTTGACTTGGGGTGCTGAACACACAACACATTGTACAGATGATGAGTTGTAGAACTATGCACCTGAAACCTGTATAATTTTATTAACCAGTGTCACCCCGATAAATTAAATGAAAAGGAAAAAAAATGAAATGAATCTGCTACCTGGACTTTTAGCATGATGCCAGCTTAGTTCTCTTCTTTTACAGTGGCAACCATCGCCACACCTGTCACTGTGCTTTGTGGAGCATGCGTGGTATTACTTCTGGTATGTTACCATAAAAAATCAAGGTGAGTGGCACAAGAGAATCACACTGGACAAGATTCTTCCTTTTCTCCGAGAAAAGAGTTCATTATTATGACCCTGGGCCTGCCTTCACAATGAAGAATCCCTTTCCTGACTAGAGACACAGGCTCTCACTCTCACCCTGCTTTTACGTTGGCCAAAAGGAGTGTCGGCCCTGGCTGGTAGCTCCGTTGGTTGGAGCATCGTCTCATATACCAAAAGAAGGGTGTTTCGATTCCCAGGAAAGGCACATACCCAAGTTTCAGTATGCGATCCATATGGAAAGCAACCGATCAATGTTTCCCTCTCACACTGATGTTTCTCTCTCTCCCTGCCTCTCTCTAAAACATATCCTCGGGTGAGGATTTACAAAAACACACAACAGTGTCGCAGTTGAGCAGTCACATTGAGGCAGTCTTAGAAAGCCATTTACTTTCCTAGGCAGGCCACTCGTCAGAAGTGGGGCAGCGAGAGATGATGACACAGGGCCAATTTTACCAAGAGCTAATTCAGAAAGAAAGTATGTGCCAACTAACCAATTTGATAGGCAATTTGTATCACTTCTTATCATATAGGCATGAATATATTCTTCTTCAATGCACTCATTACATATGGATATACTTTTTTATAAATACACTCATTAATGTCAGTCTTACTTTTGTAT